ACCGCGGCAGTCGCGGACGCGATCTCTCAGTCAAACACGGAAGTCAATTCAAGTGCGAAAATACGCATCAAAATCGATGAACAACGCGGCGAACCGTCATAACAATAGCCCGCTCCGCGAGGCAGTGCAATTTAACTTGCGAGTTGCGCGCGGCGCAGTAACGCCGCCGGACAAAACGACTGCGGCCGCGCTGGGACGGGCTGTACGTTTCGCCGTGTTAAAAGTCATCGTGTAATGCGTATTAAGATGCGGTTTGCTTTCGGCTGAAATTACGTCGGGGACTCGTGCGCGCTTCGCGGGGAGCCCGATGAAGCGCGAAGTTACATCCGCGCGGCTAGTCTCGCAGGGTAGATCGAGAGGGCACGATAACACGACAGCCTTTGCCCGACAGCCAGGTAGCGAGGAAACGCGCCCTCGCGAGCTGGAGAGAGGGAGAGAAGGAGGGAGGGTTGGGAGGGAGGGAGAGAGAGAGAGAGAGAACGAGAGACTTTTAAGCGAGGAATTTAACCATTTCACGGTGAACTAACTAAATTTGCACGACTGGAACAAAGTATCAACGTCCGCGACTCGTAGACGATTGTATTTAACGTCCCAACTTCAGCTTTTATCGCATTGGGGAGTTTTTGCGATACCGCGTTTCGAGTACGCGGAACGGTTAATGCAGGACAATTATGGGTCGACGCGGTGATTTCGTTCCCGGCGTGTTACGGCTCGCTTTATGCGCGTACTCGCCTCCGCAGATCAGCAGACAGTGGTTTATTGCAAAAAGGTATCCGCGCTAATATGGAAAAGTTTGTGACGCAAATACACTGGAGTAATACGGTTAGCGCGAATTTCCAAGAATTACCGCGCAGAATTAGAGTCTATTTCGTGTCAACAAAAAAAAGAAGCTTGAGACGACATTGGAAGAAATGTTGCCTGTTTTTAACGGATGATAATATCCCGTGTGCGCAACAATTAGCGGTAAAAGGGGAGAAATTACGCTATTCACGGCTCGCGTGTGATTACGAAAATATGCGAAAGTACATGCGAACGCGCACATGAGATTTATACGGTGTGACATATTTTTATAAATAGATTCCCGCCCCAATGTACTGTATCCCCTTTTTTCCATTAATTCCACGTGATTTTTGGACTGTCGGCCAAAAAAGCCCAGCCGTGGCATTTTCGGTATAACATTCGATGTCCAAATTTGCATTCCGATATTGACGTTACAAGAATAATTCGTAAATTATTGTCGCTCCGTTGTAATAAAAAAGAAAAGCCCGTAGCTAAATAAAAGATTATAAGTATAATTTCCGACTAGGTGATATCCCGGTCGCTCAGAGAGAGAAAGAGAACAAAAAAGAGAGAGAAAGAGAGGAAGAGAGATTTATTTATTATGTGCTTTGGGAAAATTCCGTTCAAGCGTAAAAAATATCAATAATGATATTTTTTACGCTTGAATTAATAAAAATCACACAGATTTTATAAAAGAAGGAAAGAAAAGATGTGAAATAAACACAAATGCACACATTATTCGAGTCCTGATATAAGCATTCCTTCCGCCAATATTCTCAAATAATCTTACTTAAAATTTATTAAGGCTTAAAAGAGAGAGAGAGAGGGAGGGAAAAAGAGAAAGAGAGAGAGAGAACTATTGTGCGTTACAGCACGAAATCGCCCGTCGTAATGACGTGCTCGCGTTAAAAATTACCTCCTGTCGCGCATTTAGCGGTGACTTTCATCAAGTGAAATTGTGCCTGACGATTTTCGCCGTGGGGTGGGAGCCCGTTGAGGCGTGAAGTCGCATCCCCGGCTACTTTGCGAGGTAGATCGAAAGGGTGCGACACGTGCCCCCGGCGAAGAACTTTCCGCAGAGTCAACCGTAAAACGCGAACGCGTCGCAATTAATCGTAAGAACGGCCCCGCAACGAAAGGGATCGCGGGAATTGGAATTAAAGCAAGATAATTTCGAGAAATGTCCTGAAACGCAGGGAATTCGCAACTGCGAATCAAATCTCCGCCCGAGACGAACGAACGAAAGGCAGCCGCGCCGACTCTTTTGCCGAGAGACAGTCGATCTCAAACCGATCGAGAGATAGAAATCTTTCGTAAGAATAAGAAGCAATTTAATAGACACCCCTAGCGTGGGTGGCACGAACGACGTGAGGGTTTCGCTGATGCGCCCTCGAATTGATCGAACGAAAGATGCCGTGGGGTGGCTCGCGCTGCATGTGGAACGCGACCATAAAACACGTCCGTGCGGACGGACGGCTGACAACGATTTCGCAAATTTCGGGATGAAAGCGTTCGCCTATGGCATTACGTCAAGGTGCGAGTTATTACGCGACGGGGATGCGCGCGCGCATAGTGCGATCGAAATTACGTCGTAAATCGTGGTCCTCGAAATTCGATGGCGCGAGAAAGTGCTTCCGCGAGCGTTTCGCCGCTCGGTGAGATCGACGAGACGACGACAAAGAGCCGACGAAGATGTTCTTCCGCGAGTAGATCGATGGAGAGGCAGAGAAAGGAGGAGAGGGCGAGGATGAGCAGAAGAAAGAAAGAAAGAAAGAGAGAGAGAGAGAAGCGTATCTCGGGGAGGACGGGTTCCTCGAGCTGCGAGAATCGAATTAAGCGTTTGACCGAGTGGTTCGTACAACCTCGTAACAGTTTCAAATTTCGCCAAACTATCGCCTACCGCGAAGTCTGCGGCGAATTGCTCGCGTTAGACGTACGTGAGATTGAATTAGAAGTTGCGATGTAACGTATATCTTGGACGTTCGGCGAAAAAAAGCTTTTAATCCCGTTACTCTGCCTTTCTCTCGCAACAATACACGACGGACAGACGTGCATTGGCGAATCTTATTCTGTTTGAGAAAAAGAGCAAAAGTTGGTAAATGTCACTTAAATCAGAAGTGTTAGAAATTGGTACCTGATTTACTGAAGAACGACCGTTCGTGACAAACGTGCAAAAAAGTGGTTGAAACTTTCAGCATAGGGTTATTGCTGTCTTTAAAAGTGATGCAAAGTAAGTGAGCTTTACGACACCGTCGTTTGCGATGAACGTTTAATATCGTTTAATGAACGTTTTAATATCTCTAACTCAACAACGTTTAATGAACATTTTAATATCTCCAACTGAACAAATTAAACATTTTTACTTCTGTCGTTCAGAGGAAAGGTTGCCGAAATTGTGTCGCAGTCTCTTGACAGATACTTAAAATTTCATCATTATTATTAAATATGAACAACATCTAACGGTAAAATGAGAAATAAACGCGCAATAGGAAATACAAACAAAAAATGTTGAAATTATATCTTATTTTAAAAAAAAAACCTATGATTGATTGATGAGATACAATTTCAGCAATACTTTCCTATACGTGAAAACGTATTTATATAAAAAATGGTACGTGAAAACGTATTTATATAAATAATTTCCAAGCATGAAAACGTATTTATATAAAAAATGAAGAATTTCGTATGGAAAATGCATTTCGCGTGCGACTGAAAATGCACATTCCTCCATGTATCGGGTTGTGTAATGAGCAATTTCGGATTTTTCACAGGCAACCTGGAACGAGATGATCTTTTCACGCCGTTATAATTTCGCGAAGCAAAATTTACGCAAAGAGCGGCGGAAGATCGTAGATCAACACGGCACATACATTGCGTCTCGTGAAATTATATACCGACGTAAATAAGAACGCAACCGTGTCATTTTATCTTGCATGATCCGAAGTTACTTATTGCGCAACCCAGTAGAGCCCTCTCACGCACAGAGAGGCGACACAGCTTCCCAATATCAAAAAGAATTACACTTGCGAGGGGAGATTTCGAACGGACGCGAGTATTTCGCAGCTCGCGCGCGCGCGCGCTGGTGTTCCAAATTACCCCGAAGTTCCAGTCGGCGTAAATCCTCGGCAGAGCCCCACGCGTTAGTTGCGAGTTACGGCACATTAAGAGTCGTTACGTAAGACGGATCGAGATATAGCCCGTGCGCCGCAAGACGGCCGAAATTACGTTTGGGACTCGGCGCGTACATCCGCCGAGAACTCGGCGAAACGTGAAGTTACATCCGGCCGAGTGCTCGCGCGATGATCGTCGAATAGACGGCTTTGATCCCGAATAAAGTGCCGGCGGGAGGTAGAGGAAGTCGCGGATGGAGAAAGGACGAGCTTCTTTCTCGTCTTTGGGAGTCGATACGAGCCGTCTCGACGCCGACGGCGGGCGTCGGAGAGTCGACTGGATTCTGCCGTCTCTCTTTCTCTCCCTGTGCCTTCTCTCCTTCTTCCCTCCCCCTCTCTCTCTCTCTCCCCTCCTCCTCCGTCTCTCGCTCTCTCTTCCTGTTTGACTGTCGCCGTCGTTATTCGCCGAGGCATTCGTACGACGAACGGCCGAGCGATTTGACTTGTAGTAATCCTTGGAAACCGCACGAAGTTGCGCGTTGAATCAATAGTGCGGGGCGAAACAACGCGGCGGCGATGCCTTTGGCACGTCGGGGTGAGACTCCGCGCGCGTCGGAATTCAGCGCCCGGAAGCAATTCTCTAGGATATACGGCGCCTCTCGGCGCGACGCTATCGTGCCGTTTAAAAATACGCCGGCGGGGAACGACCAAGGGGGATGGGGGGGGGGATGGTTAATTCGCTACGATGAAGCGTCTCTCCGCTCGAGAGCTGGCTCTCGAATTCGCGATCATGCAATCACGACCGATTCGTCGTCATTCGACTCGAGCTTTGACCGCCGATGATTAACGATCGCGCGAAGGGACACCGAGACACGTTCGTCGACCGGATGGCGGCCGGGTAGTAGCTGGGGGAAAAAAGAGGGGGAAAAAAGGGGGAGATAAAATAGAATGAAACCCGGCGGCAGAGAGCGGCCGTTTAATTTAGCCGTGTGATGGAATCTTTGATTCAAGGTTGGTTGACGAGAGTGTCGGGAATGTTTAACCGCAGCGACCGAGACCGTGGCTAATGAAAGCGACGTTTGATCATCGACCACGAAGTAATCGACTTACCGTGACTGACTGCGGCCTCCGTCGGCTCCTCCTTCCACGATGTTCCCCTGTATGGCGAGCAAGCCCTCCTTCTCTCCTCCTGTCCCTGTTTTCGATCTCGTGTTAATTAACGAAACACTCGCGACAGAGCCTCACTTGCCAGGATATCATGCCCGTACTTCCCGTTGATATTCCGGCACCCCGGCGCGCGATCGACGGGTCTACTCGCCTCGTTGCGCTTCGCCGTGTAATGAAATAAACGTCGCGCACCTCGAATGGACATCGAATAGAAAAAGAGAGTTTCGCGACGAGAGTCTCTCTCGGACGTTGCTTTTTACTCAGTTCTTTTCTCTCCTTTTTTTTTCAATAAGGATCCGATAATGACGGGAGGAACAATATTCGGGGGAGACGTCTCGGATCTGGCCGGCGATTGGTGCGTTCCTCCGCGCGAAAGGCTTGCCGAGCGAGCTTACACGTGTGCGCGCTTTCCCGTCGTTCGCCGTCGCGATCAAGTCGCATCCGATCAACACAGGTCCTCCGTCTCGTTCTCTTTTCTCATTCCGGAGCGTTCCCATCGAACGAGTCTTGCCGACCTCGGCGCGAAGGGTTTCGTGCGAAAACGTTCAAGAGCGACGACGAAGGAACGACGCGCTGCCCTCAGCGCGGGCAGGTCTCGCGCGTCTCTCCTTCCGCGACTGTCCGTCGCGACGGCCGAACTCGCGCACCGACTTCCGCTCGCGCGAACGCTGCTCCAGTCGCGACCAGCCCGAGGATCGACTGCCACTTCACCCTCTGGCAAAGCACGGGGGTCGAAGTCCCGCGTCAGACTGCAGGGTGTCACCCTCGCTCGTACCCTCGAACCTCCGCGATTTCCACCCTACCGTCGTCATTCCGCGAGTTGTACGCATGCCCCAGGAAATCCACCCTCGCTTCGTATCTCGGCGTTGCCTCGTATATACGTGCCACCACTCGAAAATCGTGGAAGCGTGCGCGGCTGGTCGGTGCGTGCGTGCGTATGTGGCGTGTGTATGTGCGTATATGTGTAGATGCATGCGTGCGTGCGTGCATCTATATACACACACACACACATTATTTCCTCTCTCTCCTTTCTCTTCCCTCTTTCTCTCTCTCTTTCTCTGTCTCATTTCCTCTCCTTCTCTACTCTATTTGCCTGCCTCCTCTCTCTCTCTCTCTCCCCCTCTCTCTCTCATTTCCCTTCCATCTCTACTCTATTTGCCTCTCTTTCTTTCTTGTTTTTCTCTCTCTCTCTCTCTCTTTCTCTCTTTTCTTATTCCTCCTTCCTTCCTCTCTCTTTTACCACTTTCTCTCGCGCGCGCGCACGCACAGCCGCCAATGTAAGCGAGTGTAAGCGCGATCGGCGTTTATACGCGAGTGGGTTTCGGGGGTAAACACGCGTGCGATAAATCGCCGCTTGAGGATGCGTGCCGCGCTGACGACGGGAATAAAAATCGAGTGGACCAAGAAAGGGGTTCATATCGCGTACTCGATTGCGCTTCGTAATGCTATCCCGCAGCGTAATGCTCGCTCGGGCTCTCACCCTCGAACGGCTCCGCCGCCGCCGCCGCCGGGGGAAGGGCAAAGTGTAGCGTCGATGACGCTACCACCCCCGCCCGCTGTTGCGACGGACATCGAGTTGCAATTTCGTTGCGTGGCTCACCGACGATGGCCCCGTCGTGTGACGAGCAGACGCCGTTGTCGTTGCGCGCGCCGTCGCCGTCGGTGCGCTCTCGTTATTTACGAGCGGCTCGGTCATAAATCTGCTTACCGTCTTTGACGAGGTAACTCGTCGACAGTGTCTCGCATAGAAACTTCACACTCCCTTCCTCTTCTCCACCTCCTCTCTCCCTCTCTCTCTCTCTCTCTCTCTCTCTCTCTCTCTCTCTCTCTCTCTCTCTCTCTCT